TGCCTCACGGGGCTCCGTGAAATATACACTTATTATTATTATTATTATAAGTCCAGGACAGAGGTCCTTTGTTGGTTGCGAAACCTTGTGGCCTGCATGATATGCTAAATAAGCGCATGCTCATGTAGTCATGTTAGGAGGCTTCCTCCTTTGTCCGAACGGGAGCCTCGCCCTCTACCCAAGAGATCTTCGGAGGATTGAAATCACCCAGAATTAAGATCGTTTGGGTCCTCGATATGAATTCCTGCATTGTAGCAAGTAGTTCCATAGCTCTTGCCGGTTCCCCCGTGGGTGCGCGATAGGCTAGTAGCACTCCTAACGGTCGTCTTCCCAAGAGGATACTACACGCCTTGGCTTGAATATTAGGTGTTGTCAGTTTTACTGGTGAGTCCCATTGAGTGTAATCGGCTTTGACCAGCAGGAGTACTTCGCCGCCTTGTCTGCCGTTCATTCTATCTTGTCTATAAGCCGAGTCGTCTCTGAGCTTCTCTACATCCTGCTCATGCCGCATCCAGGTTTCAGTGATACCTATTATCACCGAATTTTGGGTGCGCGTCGCCAACTATCCTTATTTTCCCCCATGACTGCAGGCGTTAGTGTACCACACCGTGATGGTGTCTACCTCCGCCTTCGCACAACTCTGCTCCTTTGATTGGGAGGGATCCTCGTACGTAATGCCCGAGGAGCTGTTACGTTTTTTATACCATATTTGCGGATACCGGGCGATCAGGATCCGTGAACGACCAGGCTATGCCCCCCACAGACATAGTTATGTCTTTGACGGTTAACCATAATTCCTCACCGAATCTTTTTGTGGGCGCTCGCTGCCTTTCTAGCATGGACAGTGTCCTACTTAGAGGGGGAGTGTCCTGAATATTCCTTGCTACCACTGTTGCCCAACTAACGGACGCTGATTTCGCCTTGCTATCAGCGACCGTAGGCTCATCCATCTTTTTAACTCACTTAGCCTTGGATGACTCCGACGGTGGGATCTTTAGTGGGCCGTCTGCTCTTCTGTTATCTTTTTTCTTCCCGGGGACCGGGCCTGCCTCGGCTTTTTCTCCCTTCTGCTGTCGCCTTTTTGCCCATCTGGTTTAGTTTTTATGGGTGTGGACTTGCTTGTCGGTGACCCAGTTGATAGACTTTGATGGACCACCCTGCGTTGGCATGCCTTGACCACTCCTACTCCATGCGCCATATGAACGTTTAGTTTGCTCAGAATAACTCCAGGCTTCTTTTGTTGCATTATTCCTGTTGCAGGAACAATGGGGATGACGCCCCGCTGGGCGTGATGAACTGTATCAGGGTAACTTTGATGCACCCCCTGGTGTGTCATCTCCACTACGACATCCCTATAGAGCAGAAGGTCCCGGCTGTATGTGCTGCAGAATACTACTGGTATAAGCGCAACTCCGGTTGTCTGTTTCTGCCTCCACAACCCGACCCTGTGGCAGTTATTTTAGGGCCTATTGGCCGGTATACCCACCAGTCGAAAAACAAGTTGAACGTGTCTGCGATCCGCCTCTCATCGCACTTTAGTATCGCGAATCATTGGCTCCGCAAAGTTGTGCAGCAAGACGTTTGTCGTTTGACCCAGTAGCGCTTGAGTGTTGCGTTACAGTTCTCGGAGATCTTTCTCCAACTGTTCTATACGTGCAGTCACTTCTATTGACTCCAACGGTTTAACCGTATCCCTTTTGCGTAGTTTCTTTCCCCTGGTGTTCGTGATTTTCTCCTTTCCATTGTTTTCTTCATAGTATGTTTAACGCTAGGATTCACCGTCTCCACCTGCTTTGTTGCTGGTATCGGAGCGTGAGTATTGGAGGTTTGTAGTGACTTAATGGTCACAGCCCCTACCAAGGCTTCTTTCAGAATGCGTGAACATTCTTCTATCAGAGCTTCGCAGTGTGCGAATATCCACTTCAATTCTCCATGTTGAAGGTGCAGCGCATAGCACTGCTTCGGAATCTTGGAGCATTTTTGTGGTACCACGGACCACATCTATTACACTGGATACCATTACTAACCACTCTTCCACAACCACTGGCTCCACACATGTCAGGATGCTGTACCATGGTTACTTTAGTAACCATGAATACAGATCACGCATCGTACGGGAAAAACAATTTATAGAAAAAAGCACCTCAAATTGCAAAACACCTGGACAAAAATACTCAACCAAAAATAATAATAATAATAATTGCATATTTCACGGAGCCCCGTGAAGCATGCATAGGCATGATCAAATGTACAACATTATCATCTGTATAGGAGAAGTCCAAAAGGAAAAATTTGAAGGTCGCAGTGAACATAACTACAAATGGAACACAAAGTGGACAAGGTATTGGAGAAAAAGGTTCGGAATGGCGGAATGCTCTAAAAGTGCAACACGGTGGAAGTAGGACGAAAGACGAGAATCGCTATACCGGATGAATGATGAGATGACTGGAAATACGGCAATCAGTGAGTAAAATAACCAGAGGTAGCCTTAGATCGTTGGCCGGGAATGGACGGAAATCAACGCAAGAGCGGATAGGATGAAGCAGAACAGAGTGAAACTGTCATAGAATATATATGCACGTCATGTAGTGAAACAGATGAGCTCTGTAGGGTCTTGATCAATGGCATCAGGGGCTCCATCAGCAATGGATTGATCTGGGTTATTTACGTTATTTAGGCGTTGGTCGCTTTGATGTGGGAACGACTACACGTCAGGCACCCAACCTCAAAACACCTTGTAAGTGAGGCATGGAGTGCGTTACTCAAACTGGTTCGGAATGCGGACGCATGCAGTCAAAGCGGTGGATAAAGCCGCGCCCAACAACTATTGTCCGTGCCAAATTGTCCATTGTGGGTGTACATCTCAAGCCTTCCTCAGGTCCAAACCAACCGAGTCTGGAACAGGAAGGCGTACATCGGCAGTCTGGGGTAATACCCAGCTGGTAAGGGATTAGGGAGAGAAATCGCAAGAAGCTAAAGACAAAATCTAATCGGGGTGGGTGCTTAGGTCATAACACTAATGAAAGGATGTTATCAAAATGTCTTGCTTTAGAGATCATAAATGGGGGTGGATACGTGTATTGGTAGAACACCAGTTGAGAAAATGGAGACTACTACCTGGTTAGCATGTGCCACAGAGGTGGGCCAGTTGAGTTAGACGAGAACAAGATCAAATGGATATAATGACTCAAGCCCGAGTTAAAACGGGACCAAAAGTTCCCAAAATGTAAAACTGGCCGACCAGTTGGGTCGGCTGTACGATACAACGACTGAGAAAAGGCCTATGAAATATCTACTGAGATTTCACTCTTAACTAAATGACGCTTTGAAGTTGTGACCCTATTGAGGTTACAAAACGGAACGAATAGTGAAAATAGATATTTCACTATATGTAGTTTGTAACATCTTTTAATATTTCACAATTAACTGAGTAAAAATACTTTCGGTCACGAGCACTTTAAAAATTCAAATTGGGCGCTAATGTAGCGCAAGGTCATCCAGTGATGAATTTACAATTCGATCACGCAGCAAAAGTGTCCTGCAGGCTATCGTGACCGACGACCGAAGTCATTTTACTGCCAAGAAAGTTACCCTTTGGTTAAACTCCGTGAGTTGTCAATATATTCTTATATCACCCCAACATCCAAAATCCAATGGCGCAGCTGAAATCTTTGTGTGCACGCTGAACAGTGCCATGGCTTTCTTGAATCCCAGTAATTCGGTGAACTGGACAGAGGCGTCGATATCCATCTGCAGCAATACCGTAACGCAGTAAATTCAACTACGGGGCATAGTCCAGCAGAGTTGTTCAAGAGTCGAGTACTTTGAACAAAACTTCTATATTTGGAGGCTGCGGAAGTCGTGTATCATCGTGGTAATTATTTACGACCCTCCAGAGGCATTGTACTGGACCACACGGGACAAAGACTTTGTCGCATATTGGATCTAGACAATGGTACTGTACATCGCAGACACGTAGACCAAGTGATTTGTAATATGTCCAATCCTGTTACTAGTTGTGAATCTACTAATTCTAAGTCTTTTCGAGATGAATTACATTCCAGTACAAATGTTGAGGATAGTACAAAAGTACCCAAATGATCCGAACGATAACTCAACAAAGCCTGCCGTGATTACAGAAAACTGGAGCTTCATTTAACCTGCAAATTTGGTGATTTCTGATGAACTATGGATTCCTTTGTTTCATTGAACAAGATATCTTTGTACATTCCGAATTTCCACTTATTACAGTTTCATTCTGTTGCTGAGTTCTGTGTTCTGTGTCTGTTTTGGGTCCTTTTACTGAGTTGGACTATTACTGCGCAGATTCCGATATGCAAACGAGTGCTCACTACAACACCGTCTTTTTTCATATTAAACCATCACACTAACGCCACGTTGCTCGTAGATAAGAAGGCTCAAGTTCCAGTCTTTCCTATTGGTAGCAGAAAACCACGAGCTACGATGCCTTGACCGTGCGCTGCGAATGGCACCCCAATTCCTATCTTTGGAACAAAACAACTAACTGTCAATCGAGGATTTAACGCTAGTGAATTATTCTGTTGCATACTACACAGCCAATATGGGTCCACCAGTAACGGCACGACCTTGCCGACTGGCATCGGAGAGTTAGTATTTGTTAAGCATAAGTTCTACACGTTACTGCCTAAAGGTAATCTCAATGTGACTCTCGGATTTGAGGCCGGCTAACAATGGCCTCGTATGGTTACTCGTTTTCTGTTCGCGGAGGATGTAACNACCGGAAAATCGGGAAAACTGGAGGGGCAGTATATCGTCTTGCCCGGGGGCTAGTGATGGTAGTCATTCTGATAACACTGTTAGTAAAGGTAACAAGCCGCAGTAGCAAATCGGCAGAATAATAATAGAAGGCACTATAATAAGAAGATGTAATTAGTCTAAGATGGTGGCCAGCCTGCTTAGTCACTCGTTGTTATATCATGTTCTTGTTTTACTCAACGTCAACGCGTTGCTTCCACTTACTTCCACCGTGGTCGTCCGGCACACCGTGCGGCGCCACTGTATTTTATGTTCAAATACAGTGCTTTGGTTTGTAGTGACATTATTTCCACTTCTCAGTGCCATTCCCATGATTCATGTAAAGACCCCATTTTGTTTTATTGCCCTCTGTTTGGAGATCGCAACTGACCTCGAATATGGCACAATTTCCGGTCACATTATAATACAAACGCTCGATTTGGACTTCGTTCTTGATCCGTTCGCTTCCTGGGGAACTTTGTAATACGCCCGAACGATAGAGGTAGTAAACACACCGTTGCTCAGCCCGTCTTAGGGGCTAAATTGGTGAGTCCGACTTCTTTTAACCCTTTTTCTTTCAGTACGCAGAGGGGCTCAAAGGTTTCAGTGAGTTTGGTGCCCCCACACAACAATCCTTTTTCCATTTTTTCGTATTTCGCGTATACTGATATTGTTAATTTTCATTTTTAACTGTTTTTATTGTATTTTCTACCTATATCTTTTGCCGGCAACCCA